GAAAGAGCTTTGCAGAAAATGCAGTGGTGTCCTGCTCTAATGGATGCTGAAGAATTACAAACACATGAAGAGGTTTAGGTCACCTCGAGAATTTGGTGAGATCTGAAATACAGGCATGAGCTGGTTCTTAGCACCAGACATGGCAGGGCATTGTGGTGATAAAGAACAAACTTCCCCTGGGTTCATCCAATTCTGATAATGGCTCAGATATTTATCCAACCCCTTTTTATTTCTATAGGCTTTGATTTATTGGATTAACACAAGCAGGGATGCGTATGGGTATGTATGAAAGCTAATAAACACTCGTTCTTCACAGATTTTGGAGGAAAACTGCAGAATCAAGTATTTTTACTTTATCTGAGTAGGGAAACAGCCGGCTATGTTTGGATCCCTCCATGCCCAGGCCAGCCCCTGCTCCCTGCACACAGCACCGCTCGCACCAGGTGGCAGCCAGCATCTTTCTCTCCGATCGCCTTCCTCTTTGCTCATGGTCTCATCTCAACCCCAAATGAAATGTTTCCAAAATAAAGGGAGATCCACGCGGGCAAACATGTCATTCCTTCCTCTGCCACTCTTGTGTCATCAGCTGAGCTGACTTTCTGCCGCCTTGTTTGGTTTCACGGGCGTACGGCAGACGTCGCAGCGGGGCTCAGGCAGGGAACGTGAAAGCCAGGTCTAGGCTGGAGGGCAGCGTTATATCACAGGTAAAAATGTAAAAGCACTTAAGGCTTTATGTAAGCTCTCTGCCAGTTCTGGTAATGTTTCATTCAATCTCCAACGTTTCCTGCATTAGCAGGACCTGTCTTACTCATCACAAATGTCCGGGAGTGCAATTTCTGCTTTCAGTTCAAATCAGAAGACTCTGAGCTGAAACTGCATTGGGCTGGCAGCGTTTGTGGTTGCAGACACTATACAAAATAGCCCATCGTGAAAAATAGCTACACCTATTTTAAGCGCATTGTATCTTGGAGAAAATCTGAGTGCTTTAAATCTTGCAGGCATGATTATTTTTTCATTTAGAAATTGAACTGCTGTGGTTCCATAAAACTTTTGTAACATATTTTGATAAATTTTAAACAGCTCATTCCAGGTTCTAAAATGAAAACTCAGCCAAACAACAATAAAATAACAAACCAATCTGTCTTGGCAATGGAAGATTTTTTGCTGAAAAAATCTGCTTTGAATTTATACTGTCCCAGCAACGGTCTCAATTTAACAAATTCTCCTTCTGATGCTGCAAAGCTGTGATTCCTGTCACTTCTGGTATCACGAGAAGACCTTGTACAGGAAGATCATCCCATTTTTCTCTTCCCAGTTACATACCATGCAAATGAATATTGGATGGAGGAGAGTTATGGGGAAGAAAAGATTGCTGAATGATACCAGCTGAGAGACACTGGTATTTGACAGTAGAGGACAGGTGAAGTATTGAAAGGCAATAGTTTTATATTTTTCTTATAAGGACCGTAACAAGCAGAGGAAGACATGCATTTGAAGTCGTGTATTGCAAATACTAAAATTGCTGATAAGCGTCAATCCAAGAAATGGATAGTTACCCAGGAAATTAACCTTGTGCTCCTTCATTGGAAGGAGGCAGCTATGAACATCTCAAGGGTCAAATACAGCAAACAGCCCAAACCAAACAGCTGTGAGACCCAAACCCACTCCCGTGGGGCCGCGTGAAAGCAACAGCACTAACCAGCGATGCAGAGCCACCTCTCCCCACACTTGGGGCAAGCTGCTTGGTCTTCCTTCATTTCCCTGTCTGTAAAAATGGAAAAGCAGCCCTTTCCTACATCGCCCATAACAGGGGAGATTGGTACTAGGAAAGCCTGAGAAGAAAGGTGTTCCTGTATCTCAGTGAAGTCAACAATAAAGCTCTCCCTGACTTCAGCATGGTAAGGATTTTGTGCATGGATTTTTCTTTGTAGTCTTATTCCTGACATCAAGATTTCCCTCTTAAGCCTTATCCCATTCTGACACAGTGCAGTAGAGGGCAGGCAGCCTGAGCAGAAGCATCTAGAGAAAAAAAGGTATTTATCCTTGTAACGAACCAAAGCATTGCGTACGTCAGTCCAAGGCAGATGCCAGGTTCTGTCAGGAGAACAACTGCCCTGAGAAGACCAGGAATAGGAAAGTTATGGTAACAGAGGCTGTGCAAGTGCCGGTAGCCTGGTTTCTGCCTTGCTCCTCTTGCAAAGGCAGCAAGGAAAAGGGAGAGAGGGAGGAAGGACTGCTTCCTAGGACATGCTCATTCCTCACGGCTTTGAAATGCAATCCTACCTCCGGGGCGACGAAGTTGGCCGTGTAGCAGGGAGTCATGAGCAGCCCATTCTCCGCTCTCAGTTGCTTGGCAAACCCAAAGTCACAGATCCTGATGGAGTCCGGGTTTCCTGACTCATCCATGTAGAGGATGTTACTTGGCTTGAGATCTCGGTGCACCACCTTAAGAAGAAAGCAGTGAGTAACAAGTGAGGAGAGGAGGTCAGGGAGCATCCAGGCTTGGCTGCCATTTCTGGTTTGCTGGTTGAGGTAGGTCAAGAGCTCATATCGAAAATATTTAAGTTTTGGAGAAAAATTGCTTAAAAATCTTGGGTAACCGAAGGAAAAAAAAGGTTAAAGTCTGTTAAAATCAGAAAGAACACGTTCGACAACCTCCGCTGGTGTGTTACGGTGAAGGCTTGGTTAAAGTCTGTTAAAATCAGAAAGAACATGTTCGACAACCTCCACTGGTGTGTTACGGTGAAGGCTCTGCTCTAAGGGGGACACCTTTCCCGAGGGCGGTCAGAGGGGGCTGCTGCACAAACACCTTGGGGTCAAGAGTCTCCTGGAACCTGATGGCCCTAAATATCCAGCTGAAAGGTGAAGAAGAAATCCCATCATAGGCAAAAAGTGTGTAAGAGTCTTCTTGCGACTCTCCGTGGGAGTGGCTCACACCTGAACAGAGGGATTATTTTTTTCCCTCATTTCAAAATGTATTCACAAAAATCCTTTCTGTAGGCACACAGCTTCAAGTGGCTGCGTGTTTTACCAAATATGCTGCTTTTCAGTGGTGGGAAAACAGCCTTTATTTGTTATCGCAAGACTCAAAAACTAGCATGAAAACATAAAAGCCCAAGCACAAAATGCACTTGTTTTAACCATGAAACAGAAAAAGCAGCAAGTATTTGACTAGTCATCCAAACTGCTTGTCCCTGAGAAGCGGAAAAGGAGAGATTTTCAAACTGCTGTATATAGAGAGCTTAGATTTTAAAAGCCGGCTCTTTAACAGCATGTCAGAGGCCTTCCCTATCAGCTGCTCAAACTGCCACTTCACTTGGAAAGCTGAGCATTTGATTTTCTACCTGTCTGCTGATTCAGCTACTATATTTGAAATTCTCTTAAAAGATCAGGTACTGCAATAATGACTGTGATTAAAAAGTAAACAAGTAATAGCTCAGCAAGGTACATGAACTTGAAAATCAGTGTAGTTTGGGAATGAAAATACCACTTCAACATACTGCGGTTCAGTTGGGAAACGGCTAAAAAGCCTATGACCCTACTTCACAAACCAAATGTAATTATAAATACAGAAAAAGATTTTATTTCTGGGGAAAAAAAAAATATTTACATTTCAGGGAAGCAAAATCACAGCTATTTGCTTTTTCTAAAAGTCAGATTTTAAGCAGGTTGATGCGGATAGCCAAAGAAGCAATGCTTACGCCCTGAGAGTGCAGGTAGTCCACGGTCCTGGTGATGGTGCACAGCACAGCGCTGGCCTCCCGCTCCGAGAAACACTTCTGCCGAAGAATGCGGTCCAGGAGCTCGCCTCCCCGCATCAGCTCCATCACCAGGTACACATATTTCCCATCATCATAGACCTGGAAGGGTAACAGAATAAATATATGTTTTGGACCTGTTAACTTGGTAAAGTTTGGTCCTTTAATCGCAGTGTTGGCTTCCTTGTGTGAGATGTTGCAAGAAAACGTCAGCTAATGTGTGGGAAATGTGCTTATTACACTTAACAACAGAAAAGGCAACTTTATAAAATGACTTAATCATCACTTTTTTCTGCTGTCTGTAGCAACTTACTGATTTGTCCACACAGAACCGTAAGCTTTCCCGATCTGCTCTCGTGTCAGCAGAGCAGACCAAGCTGCTAAAAGCAGCACCACTTCACACAGCCCAAAATGTCTGCTGGCTCTCACCCAAGCCTCCTTCTCAGTAGTGTTCTCTCTTTCCACTTCTACAGGGTAACATTTGCCATTTCAAATATCAATATTTCCCTTTGACTCACGATCAGCTAAATGAACTGCATTATGCTGTTGGCCAAGACCTGCTTCCAATGATATTATATAGTTTATATTTGCAAATCTGATGAATATGTTGTTGACATCAGCCGCGAGAGGTATTTACCTTCAACGTCCACTGCCAGGGGTAAAAGCCATTTTTTGTCTAAATTGGAAGACTGCCATGTTCACGTCATAATCCTTTATCTGGACTGCAATAATAGGTGGTGTGATAATCATCAATGCTAAATGTTTTTGGAAAGGAATATAAAACCTTTTTTGCACAGATTTTAAGATACTCTTTAACACTTAGGAATTAGGCGAGACTCTCTTGAAGGTGTGTGATTAGAGATTTTTTTAGATACTGCTCTGAGGTCTGAATCACAACGTACTGGCCACTGACAGCAGCAGGATTTTGTTCTGTAGACTTTGAGTCTGACACGGTGTGGACAATCCTAGGTGGGATTGCAGGCAGCGTAAGTAAAACATCTCTGACTAAAGGTCATTACTGCATGTAATAATTACTCTCTTCCAACCATAATGATTCTATGATTCTAAGCATAGCAAAGGCTATTCTTCATATGAAACACTAAAGAAAGATACCTTCATGTCCTCTGAGGCTGCTGGAGTAGAAGGTAAATACTCCCTGGCATTAAAACATTTTCAGAGGAAAACCTAGCGACTTTGTGAGCTCTCCTCTTCCCAACCAAGCAGATACCACATCTGCGTGGGAACGGCTCCCGCTCATGAGGGAGCATCCCCAGCCCAGCAGCGCTGCTGTGGGAGCTCTGCAACTTGCTCCCAAACACCCAACCACAGACATCTCACTTCTGAAAAGTGCTGCAAAACCAAACACATTTTGTAGTTCTCCAGCACGGTGCCCCTTTGGTTTTATTTACAGTTGGTTAGACAGCAATTGGGGAATGTATAACCTGACCAGTCCTTCCAACTGCTATCTACTAATTTGTTAAGTCATGTATTTTTCCTTGATTTCAATGGGTCTGGTTTTAGTGCTGACCTTCAACTGAAGAATTTTCCAGACATGGACTACTAAGTAAGCCTGACCATAAGGTGAAAATCATTTAATGCTGAAGTGCTCAAAGCCTACTCACATCTTTAAGAGTAATGATGTTTGGATGCTGTCCATATCGCAAGAGGATCTCAATTTCTTCAGAGGGGTCTCTCTTGCTCTTATCAATTATCTGGAATAAATGAAGCACAGTGTAGTAAGATACCGGTTAGCAGCCCTAAGCACAAAACAAGCAATTTCTACAGCGTAAACAAATTAATATTTAAAATTTTTCTATTAATCATTATTCTAGGAGAGAACAGCTCGAACTCTGTGCAAATGAGAGCCATGCTGACTATATGCCAAAGCCAGATGGAGCAGTAATTAGTTTAGATTCTGGAGGTGTAGGCCCTCTTTTTGATGCCTATAGTTTTGTCTGCCCGTAAATAACGGCAGTCACAAGAAGTGTCATTTAGAAATCAAAAAACTTGGGAAGTTTTAAAATAATAATAGTTTTTAAATGACCTCTTTGACACAAAAAATGGATACATTCATAATATTGGCATGTGCCTGTATATCTGCTGATAAATTAATAGAAATTACTTAGCAGGTGGGTTTGTCAGAAATGAAAACGTATAGACATTTACTGTCAGGGGAGATCTGAGTTGAAGCTATTGATAATCACCTGGCGTTTTGGGCCACGCTGTTGTAATGAACTAGAGAGTGGCCAGAGATTGCATTTGGCCATGTAACCAAACTCTGCCCCTTCCTAAGCTAGAAAGAAACTGGCTCTATATATACTTTTCTGTATTCAGCATCTTTTGCCTTAACAGAGACTATAGTGAGACATGAAAACTTTTTAGTTTTATAGCAGCAGGTCTCAGAAAAACGTGATACCTGCTGCTTAGAGAGCATCACTGCATGGAAAACCTGCTGTTAGGATGGCACCGACTTCTCATCAATGCTCCCATTACCTGTATTTTGGGATATCAAAGAGGTTGGATCATTTGCCCAGTTGAAAGCATTGATTAATGTTTCTCACTTCACGGATTTAAAAGATAAGTATGAAACAAAAAATAGCTATAAAATAATCCAAGGGAACATTTTAGAATCTCAAATGCAACTACCCAGGGAGTGCCAAAACACTCATTCTACTAGAAACTCATCAGGACTACACTATTTTGGCACAATTTCTTATTGCTAGAAAACAGCAGCAGCACTTTCGAACAACAGGTTTACCAAAGAGGAATGGGTGGCATTTTCAGAAAATCGTAGTTCTATTATTGGCTTGGATTTCAAGGCTTCCAACCTTAAATGTGGGTAGCTCTCTCTAAGAACTAGGCACAGAGGACAGATTTAAAACAATGGTGTTTGAAGGGAAACAGTTTTTTAAAAGCCTCTGTTGTTAATGAGGATAAATGCCTGGCTGCTTCTGCATGCATTTTTAATGGCTTAATTATGGTGATACACATTTAAGTACATGTCTAGAATTTTATGCATCAGTTATAATAGCGCATACTTGAATACGTATCAGAGTAGTTGTATCAGTATCAGTTTTGTAGTTGTCATGACTGGCATGCATTTGCAGTGGTAATGATGGTCAGTAGTTGTCCATGGTTGAGGTATGCATGTGAAGCCGTATCAGTGATTTGATTCTGAATTAGTAGCAGTGTGACACGTGAAAGCGCAACAGGGAGCTGATGGAGGTAGATGGCTGTTGTCCACATTTGAATAAATGAAGGAAAAACCTCGAAAACAGGTGAGTGGAAAAAATGCTACTAGCAATTTCTCCTTAGAATAATGTTGTTCTCCCAGTTTAGCTGAGACATTCTCAAAAAGCCAATGAAACCCCGATTAAATGACCCCTCATAAATACAACCCCAGTGACCGAATCTGTCCCACTCAACCAATAACTCTAACATATAAAAAGATCCTCAGGGCCGCTTCCTTGGCTAAACCAATATAGCTCTTGTCGAGTTAATGGACTTACACACATGTGCACCTGTTAGGATCTGCCTGCCTCCTACAAACCAGCAGAATTTCCTGCAGCAAGCATTACTACCACCGTACAAAGTATTACTATCGCTATGGTACTGCAGCAAGCAATATATTCCAGATTCCTTTTCTGCTGTATTTCCCTATGAAAGGAAATATCCAGAGCTGTGGAAAATTTTAAGCCACTATTAATAATGCAGGACTATAAATGCATATATACGGCCTAAAAAAAATCCAAACCAAAAATAGTCTCAGCTATTGACACAAAACTCAAAATTACATAACCTGAAGCAGCCTGCTACTGATTTAGCAGCAACAGCGGTAGATAATGTGTAATGTTCTGATTCACAATATGCTATAGAAGTATAAATCGTAAGACGGTCCTGCTAAATATGCATGCTTTTTGCTTTAATGCGTACACAAGCTGCGACACAGTGATTAAATGGACAAGCTGCCCCGAACCACACAATAAATCATTGTCAGAGCCGTGAAGGGACCTGCCAAATTCCTCTCGGTCCCTGGGCAGTCCGCTTGGACAGACCAGAACAATTTTTTTCCTCCACAGCAAGAGATTGTCACCCTGACATCACGTCAGCGTGCCTGTGACTTACGCCTGGTCCACGACTGATAAAGCAGCAAAGGAGGCGGCTACTGCTACTTTAGCAGAAATCTCTCGTCAGTTCAGACTGGCTGCAGGACGCACAGTTTCTTTATTCACATGCTGCAATGGCCACAGCAGCTCCTTAAATACGCCCCGTAGCTCCACTGTGATACCCAATCCCCCTTGGTCTTCCCCTTCAGAAAGCGTTTCGGTGCGTTGTTAAACCCACGCCAGCCTTTCCAAAGAGGGAAGCTGCCACATCAGGGTGGTTGGGCCGGTGGTTGCTGCCTCCTTTTGCACCCAGAGGTGTCTGTATCACAACGTGAGGTGCCGCATCCCCAAGACATCTGTGAATCTTGCCCCAGCTTAGTGCCAAAACGAGCTGCAGTAAAATGCAGACCCAGTGCTCCTTATCGAACACAGGGGCTAAGGAAGATGCATCGTGGGCTTCCAGTGATATTCATAAGCAGTTCTGAGAGTCTCAAAAAGTATCAGATTAAATTAATTACGTTAGTGAAAAGGCAGTGGTTTAATATCTAGTGAATTTAACACCTATTCACTAGATAGGTGTTAAATAAGGGCTTTTCGTGCAGCTGTACTTTCTGATTTGCAGTGCGAGCGTTGCTGTATAGAACACGGAGGAAAAGCATGTGCCGAGCACCTTGTGCAGATGCAGGAGGAGGGGGCAGGACGGTGGTAGCCCCGGCACAGCCCCCCCTCGCACGCTCTCGCCAGCCGGCTGCCGGGCTGCTTGGCCTGCCGGGAAAAGCGCGTGGCTTCTGCCGTACCTGTGCAGTAACCACCTTCTTCTCCAGACAGCAGCGCCCAGGCTGCTGGGCACAGAGTCCAAAATCACCATGAACACCTCATTCACAATCCTACAGGCTCATCTGTACACACATCCCCCTTCCCGGAGTGGGTCAATGCCAAGATATATGAAGTAGCCTCAACAAAAAGTGTTTGCTAAGTCGGACTTAGCGATTGCCAGAGAAGGTGAGGGAAGCTTTACAAAGTCTGACCATGGTTGTACCCTGGCTCCTGGGAGCAAACTAAGGTGCTCTTCTTGTTAGTCCTTTCCAGGGGGGACCTGGTGAGCATCCTCGGGGCTGAGCCCCCACTGTGCTGAGCTCTGGTGCCCCCCGGGCTCTCCTGGAGCGGGGACACGGATGCTCTTGCCAGTGGACCTTGATCGACATGGAACCCCTACCAGAGCAGACACCCATACTGGGCACTTGGCTTTCCATTTCTGTGTTACTGTTTCTTCCTCCTGCTCCTGCTTTGGAGTTTAATGATCCCCAATTTTTAAAGATCAGTTCTATTGTCAGTCCACTGCTGCATATGGAGAGGTTTTAGCTTTGTCCACGGAATTCAACCAGTGCAGATTGTGTAGACTGGACAACAGCGTATGTGGCACTTCACAGCCAATGTAACAGTTAGGTACGGTCCTCAAATTAATTTTAAGGAACATCTCACAGAACTATGCTTTCAGGCTGCCCAGAAAGACCCCACAAGGACAGCCCGTCGTTGGCTACTCTGCTCCAACGAGGACCAAAGGCTCTGGATTGTTTCCTACCTGTATACTGGAAGCTGCAATACTAGAAAGAAAAAAAGCATTTAATGTTACAGATTTGGATACAGGAACTGCCATACTCTCATCAGACTTCCTACATGAGACCACACATGGTCACAGCATGTGACACAGTGTCCGCCCTTGTTCAGAATTAATATTATCATTAATCAGTTAATTTTTTTGCTATCTAGTAGCTTTCAAGCTCTACTGTTGGATGCTGGCAAGTGAAATATGTCTGTCTGAATTTTAGACCGGCAATGACACTCTCAAACCCCGATTAAGAGCTGAGCAAAACTACGTAATTTCTAAATATTTCTTGTGGTAACAAAAAGCATTTGCCACCCTGGCCACTCTGTTTCCTCTGAGACACTGTGTTTTGCTTGAAGACAGACTTTTCTCTGTTCCTCTCTGTGACAGCCCATGAACCTCCTGCAGCTCTCCCTATGCAAGGAATGATGTCTTCTCTTTAGGAAATTAATTCTGATTGGAACTCAACTAAAATGTATACATAAACACCCTCTGTTACAGAGTTGAGGGAAGATTTTCTCTCCTGCTAGTCCTGAGGTTTTGAGTAATATGTAATGATGCTGCTTTTCTATTTCTCCCTGTAGATGAGCGGTGAAGAACACCAACTCAGAAAGCCATCAAAATGTATAAATAACTTAAATGAAAATATAACAAGAGCTCTATTGTACTTTGGCAGAGAAGAGCTATGAAGGACAAGGGTCTTCTATTGTCCTTCAGAAAAGGAAGAAACTGAGCCATACAAATCCCAGATTTTTCTCTGTGTATTGGACACCCAGGGATTGCCTAGAAACTTGTCTGTATCAAACAGTGGCTGAAACAATTCCAGAGTAAAATGGGCTCAGGACATGCAATAGTGTCCTTTGTTCTAGTAGGGGGCTTGTTTGTTCTTTGACTATCACATCCTTTGTGTATTTCACTGACTAGCTAAAAGAAAAAAAATGCATTTGCCTCAGTGGAATTTAGGGTAAGAACCTCATGATATTTTAAAATGAGTCGAGCT